TGTTTACGTGGAAAAGGATTGCACCTCTGTTTTTAGAGGTACCTCAGATCGAGTGAGACCATCTATTCCTGTGCTTCAGTATTGCCATTGCTGGGGAAACCCTTCTAATGCTGATTTAAAGTCTGGTATAATGATGGAGAACGGACTATTCCCTTTTTTTTCTGCAGTGGCATTTTATATATTTGGGAACTATTTGTTTAGAAAAGAGATAACTCAAAAGAGACATGAGAAACCTAAATCTTTCCTCAGAGGTCACGTTTTCCCATTGCTGTCCAGATGACGCTTCTGTTCAGTACCACTTAGTATAAGCTGTTATGTAATAGAAGTACATCCTAATAGATGCATATCCTTTTCCGCATGGTGTCATTGATATACGTTCAGCCGATGATAAGCCCAGCTGCTGACCACCAGTCTGAACTCCAAGGGCGACTCTCCTACCCAAGGGGAGAGACTTCCACTTTCCTTTGGTGAATTGTAGTCCACTTCTCCTCTGCACCTCTGTCTGCAATTTAGTTGTAAGCTTGCTCTCAAACACATTTACAGACACCTGACCACGGCGCCTATGCTGATTTAATATGCATTCTCTCTGCTCCATCAATGGAAATAGTGACATGATCTACATCTAGAGCAGCCGCCAGCAGAGAATCTTACCTGACATATTTCAACTATTTCATCTCAGCCACAGTTCCCTCATCTTAAGAGACAGTACCTCACGTGTCGTTCTCTGAAGCCAAGAGCTATAGCAGCTCTTACTTCCTTCTGTCCATAGACTTCTTACTCTGGCATAGAGGAAATTATGCCAGCTTGACACGGTTCTTTTCTTGACCAAACCACATAGGTTGTTACTCATTGCCGTGTTACCATGTAGGTATTTACAGCAATGTGTTTGTTCTTAGATGTTCTCAGAAGCTAGATGTAAAGCAGTCTGCTGTGGAATAATCTAATTCCTCTTTTGTCCTATTTTTTCAAAAGAATCCTTACATCTACCTTCCTCAGCCTTTGAGAACCTTGGAGGATCACTCATTAATTGTCGGAAATGGTCACTAACAGCTCAGAGGTTATTTTACCCAGTTCACCAATATCTGACTGGGTACTTGCATTAGGTTCATCTGATAGAAAACAATAATTTAGATAAGTACTTTTTAACCTGTTTCTTTCCTATTTTAATTGAGTTCCCACTTATTTGTTGTGGTGTTAAATGTGTTAGTCACCAGATTGCTTCAATTATTAATGCAAAGTTCAAAAATAATATTAAATAATCCAACCTCTTGGCGTTAGTTGTTGACTGCTTTTCTTTTCTCAGGAGTAGCAACCAGTGCTTTCCTTGATCTTCCCACTCTTCCCAGTACAATAACAGAACATTTTCTTATTACTCTTCATGTCCCTGATTTCACCATATTTTGGATCCTGACCTTTTTGACTATCCATGTGTACTGATTCATGGTGTTTTTATATTCATCTTCATTAACCTGCTCACGCTTATATTCTCTCTGACTTTTTTTTTTCTCTTGCTTAACATTAACAAAGAGCTCGTAATTTACAAAATGGCCTCTTACTACATTTCCTATTCTTCCACTAGGTTGTGATCATGCTGGTAATCACATCTCCTTTCCCGTCTGCTCTTTGTAACTCAAGCTTTCCCTTAGTTCTTGCCTCCCTTCTTGATCAACTCCACTTTTAATCTTCCATGTCATGGTTTTGCTCACCTAAATGCCTCCCATCTTCAAGTTCTTAATGAGTTCTTCCGCTTACCTCAGGTCAAAACCTAAGAAAACTTCCTCTTGATGTCTCTGCCGCTTTTTGTACCCAATAAGTTATTGGAATGTGCAAGACCTTGCTGGACAGCCTGCAACATGAAGTGTTCCCTTCCCTACAGATATCAGGCAACTGAGGTCCCCCATGGCCACCAAGTCTTGCGCTTGGAACAATTCTGCTGCTCGCCAAAAAGTTTAATCCATCCCTATTTTGGTGGTCTCGAGCAGACCTCTGAGTAGGTCCATCTGCCTCTCTAAGAATATAGACTTTGGAGTCACAGTCGCACTGGACCTGTTTTGACGCCCTCCTGGCAGTCACTTGCACTGGCACTTGCAGGGGTAGGCAGCCTGGGACATTACTGCATGAGCTGGTTGATCCTCGATTATCTTCCAGCAGGTTTGGATTGATGGTCCCCCCACTCTCTGCAGGAGAGAGTCACTGTGCATCTTCTGCTTCCCCCTAAAGAGTGACGGCTCCTGTGGGATTTTGCCTTCCAGCACGATGCTAACCATCATCTGCTGTGTGCATAGCATGTTTTTTACTGCTCTTGCAAGGTGGATGAAATACCTCTGCCCTCCTGATCCCTCACAGCCATAATTCCCACCTGCTCCCCACCACTAGTCACGAGGAAAAGCTTTTTTACCTTCTTGGATGATTTTTGTCTGTGGGGCTTGTTATGAATTCCCACAGTGTTTCAGCCCAGCTACCATAGTCTGAAGGTCTCCAGCTTTCTTCCTAAAGGGGTTCCACCAAGAGATACCTCCCTGGTATTCCACTGCTGGTGCTTACTGGCAAGAAAAATATTGCAAAAATATTGCAAACTCTGTTCAAAGTCTGGATTGAAGCATTCAGAGTTGGTGTCCCCGTTTGAAAATAACCTTTACAGCAGCAGGTAAAGAAATAAATGATAGCAGAATAACAGAACAGCAGCATGACTTCACTATTTTTGTTCTGATTATTGTGCTCCTTGTCATCATCCACTCCATGTCCCTTCTCTGTAACCGGCCCCCCTCACCCCACATTTATTATTCCTCCTGTGAAGGTCTTTAAGGAAAGACTAAATCAACCTATGTGAGAAATTTGGCGGGTAGAGTAGATCCTGCCTTGGAGAAAAGGGTAAAGCGTGTCACCTCCTGAATGAAGTCTCATTTTGCAGTTCTCTGCAGGGATTAGTTAAAATAAAAAGACAGGAATGCAGTTAATTTTACTTCACATTCAATATTATTGTTTAGTTTCACAAAGGTCGTTCATGTATTGGAAAGCCAGTATCTATAGGGAAACTACTGCCATTGACAAAGACAGCAGTAAAATAGCATTGGTGGGTTTCAGTTACTTCTCACTCTCGTTTAAAGCCATGTGCTGCAGGACTTGCTTCGTACTACTACATCCAGACTTCATGTGACAGGGAAAGTCCACGCTGCTTGCTGAAACCCGGAGCAACAAGTTCATTAACATGCAGCCTAGAGGTCTTTCAGCGCAGTTATTCCTGTTTGGACAAGATCAGCTTGGGGTGATGTACGGCTGACTGCAGCCAGGCCAAGAGGGCCATCTGACGCCACTGGCCGTAGGAAAACGTCTAATACAGGCAATGTAGTGTGGCCTCTGCAGCTCACCTCAGAGGCTCAAGCTTCAAAAGAAAAGTCATCATGAGCTTTCTACATACGAGATGCTCAACATGCATGGCGATTCAGAGCAAGGGGAAGGAAAAACATGCACAGCTGACCAGACGAATCCCTGCCAAAGTGAGGGACGTAGAACTGCAGTCAGCTGGTGTTAGACAGCTTTTCCCTTTTGCTGTTGGATGTTAGTCACATCATTCAGTGCACTATTCTGCCAGCAGACACTTTGGATCCTTTAATTGCTTCAGTTGCTAATGTGGTACAAGAGGATCTATAGATGGTATCGGTGCAGCCATTGCATGGTATCACTCAATTCAAAGCCTCAGTTCCAGGACAAAAACAGGCCTAGAAATTTCTTCAAGGCATCCTGAAATGCTCTGTAGATGTTCTGTGCACTAAGGGGGTTAGCAGTTATCTTGTTTAGCCAATTGGTTATTACTCACAATTCTGTCTGTCTTGGTAAGCAGATGAATGGTTTACATCTATTCCTTCCAAAACACTACCTCATAATCTTGGAGGATTCATGTGATTTTTTCCTCCAAAAGAAGCCACGGAAGTACAACTGGGGAAAAAGAATCTGGCAGTATGGGTGGCCATAGTTCGTGTGTTGGGGGGGCTAGCTAACAAGTCAGGAAGACAAACAAAATAGTCTAGGTAGAATTAATCCTGACAACACCAGCCTGTGTTGACACAGGCAAACCTGTGTCATACCAGAACTGGATTTTGAGAGTGTCCAAGAGAACTAAATTACTTGCAGTTGGGTCTTGCCTGGGCACTTGCAGTTGGGAATTCCAGTGCCAATTCCAAAATAGTGCATGGAAGCCGTTTAAAGAGCCCCCTCCATCTTAGCCAATGGCAAGATATTTTACATTTCTTTCATAAAACACAGGACAGAACTGCTGTTTATTTACCGTTGTAAAAGGCTCACAGAATTGATCTTCAGTCTGCATGGACAGCTGAAGTGTTTGTGTACTTACCTGACCAGAATTAAACTGCCATCCTTTTTAGCTCATTAATCACTTTAACAAAGAAATTTAGAGTGGCTCGTAAATGTAATATACAGTTGACATAGTCTGCCAGTCATTCCATTAAGCTAAAAAGACTGACACAATTAACATTCAATGAGGGCTGTTTCTTAGACGAGCGGGGAGAGCAGAAATAATAAGATGCTCACCTTGTTAGCCAAGGATTAGATCCGAGAAGCATATATTTAATTAGACTTTAAAGAGCTTATTTTAATGTTAGGAGATGCCGTTCTTCTCTGCTGTGCTTCTTCCATATCTTTGTTTCAGTAAGTGTTCTGCTTAACGAGAGAGGAGAGTGTTTTGTGATATTGTGGATACTTTATTTTGTTTGTATTTAGATTAAGGAGAAAAAGTTGACTCAAAGCTTTTGTAGAGGTCATCTAATCTGTTTGGTTGAGAAGATCTACCCTCCCACAGACTATATTCAGCACTATAAAGGAATACCTTCCTGATGACAATCTCTCTTTGCAGTGTTATCTCATCTGTGTTCATTCTGGAAGCAACATCTTCTATTATGAAAATTTAGGAACCGTACCAGAAAGAAGAGTGCTGTTGGCATAGACAGCCTCCTTGGACTACTACCTGTCACAGGAGCCAGGATTCAAGGACATTCACAATGAGCATCAGTGAAGACGACGTGGAGAAGTTTCTTGATGGCAACCCTGCTTTTGCGAAGCAATACTTTGAAAAGAAGCTGAGAACGGAGTCCTGGGATGGCAGTGAAAGTGACATCCTTTTTGAGTTGATCCAAGACATGCAAGAAAGCATCAACATGGAGAAAGTTGTTTTCAAGACCTTGAGAAGAATCAGGTCTCTTATTCATGCTGACCGCTGCAGCCTTTTCATGTACAGGCAGAGAAACGGCACACCTGAACTGGCTACAAGGCTTTTCAACATTCAGGAGGGAAGCACCCTTGAGGAGTGCCTGGTCTCCCCTGACTGCGAGATTGTCTATCCGTTGGACATAGGCATTGTGGGCTACGTTGCTCAAACCAAAAAAACCATGAACATCAAGGATGTCAGTGAGGTAGGTTTGCCACTTATTCACTCAATAGAAGAAAGACTCACATGCTTGTTTGTACGGGGAGGGTCAGGGGTGCACAGGGCATCTCAGTGTTTGTTCTAATATCTTGCAGTGCGACAGCCCTGTGATAGGAAACTAAAGCACCAGTAGTCAGTCTGTCAGCTGTTTCCAGTTTTCATTTATGGAGTGAGCTGTAGCTAGACAAACTGAATTACACTAGATGTTAATGCCTAGCAAACATGTACACTGTCACACCTTAAGTGCTTCAGTATAAACAGAAAGTCTTTTCTAGTGTGACAGAGAAGAGACGACCAGGTACTTGCTGCAGGCAGATATGTACTGGATGCACGTTGAGTTTTCCACCCACATTTATATTGCATGAGAAATTGGCAAAGAGAGAGAAAGCCTTTACAGTGAGTCCAGAAAGAGTTTTCCATTGCCAATCACATTTGAAAATGTTTGCCGTCTGATGCAACCTGGGCCAAAGGCTTTTGGAGGCATTTTTATCAACCAAAAGAGAGGACCTTAGAGCAGGTGAGCTGACTGCAGCCTGTGTATGGGTGACCTGCATCAGAAGCAGCAAGAGACAGACCTTGGCCAAAAATTTCGTGTCAGCTACCAGTGTAACCACAATACCAAGAGGGATCCAAGGAATTTTAATGTTATATTCTTAGGCCTTCATGAGACTATTTTAACTCTTACATGCCCAGGTTCAATCGTATAAATCTGAATGGCAGAAATCACAATCCGCTTGTTCTAATCATAGTTATAAAACTAAAATCCATGTGACCCCAATATGGTATTTGGGATTACTACATCTATCATTTGCTTACTACAAAGAAACCATCTGTTTATCCATCCACTTGATGCTTAGCATCAACATATCCAAATGCTTCAGCAAAAACTTTCTTACAGGGGGCGTACTAAGTCATTGTTTTGATTTTGCAGTAATATGTATCAGATGATTGATAGCTAAATTTTTAAACCGTTTTGTTCCAATATTTCACCCAAAATGCTGAAGAATTTCAGAGCTGTGAGCCCAGTGCCACAACCCAACTCTAGCGCTTTCAGACTTTGCTATTGTTATGGTAATTCCTTTGAAAGCCTCTGTGTCTAAAGCTTGGTTTTCCCCGGGGGTGGCAGGGAAGACCAGCAGTGGGGCTGAGGTATGGGGAGAAGGTGACTTGGAGAGTGATTATTTACATGTCCTTGCTCAGAGCTCAGTATTGTCTATTCCACATAGAAGGAATTGTACCTGAGAAGTTATTTGGCTGAGCAGGGGGAAGACCTGGGTTCAGAAAGACCACCTCTGTTCTTCGTGGGTGAGGGGGGGGGTGTCAAGAAGGGCCTGCCCAGGTGAGGTGATTGGGATGTCCACCCTCCCCATCTTACCTCTTCCCTGCCTCGCTTTCCTTTGGTGTGGGGGGATAGTGACATTTGCACAAGTAATAACCAGTCTTTCTGGTTACCTTTGTGCTGTTCCTGCAGCACGACTAAACATTCTCCTAATGGTTTGGATGGCGGTTCCCCATGGGCAGGGCTCCCTGGGCGGCCGAAAGCCGTACTGGCACTACCTGTGCCTTGCAACCCTGGCCAACACACCACGAGGATGGAAGCCCATGGGTCACTCGCAAGGGATGGGAGAGACTGCCAGCAGCCCCACACTGCCTGTGCCCGCTGAAGCGCTTTGGAATAGCCATCCTACCATCCCGCTCACAAAGGCCTGGTGCGGCCACGGCTTGGGCTAAGATCACCACTTTTATTTGCCTGCTCCCTAAGAACAGCTACAACCTACTGGCATAGCCAGCAGCACCGGGCAGGTTTCACATGCCTTTGAGCTTGGATTTTTCAGTCAGAGTCCTGCTAAGGCCATTGCTCCTCCTTGCATGAAAGAGAAGGGGAGAAAACCCTCTAGCACCATGTCTAGAGGGCCGAGGTTCATGCTGCTTCCCCCAACCCGGGAGGGAATCCCCAGGAGAATATATTTAGAGAGACTTGAGGAATAGACAACTCTTTGGAGGCTGCCAGCTGGCAGCAGCTTCAGTGTCGGTGCAGAAGCACGAGAGAATTAGGGTGAGGGAACTGTACCGTGACTGTGTCAGAAAGCACAGGTTTATGAACTGTGGCCATGGAGTGCACTGTGGTAACTGATTGTACCCACTCTACAGTGTTAACTCAAAGCTGGAAAAAGGGATGGGGGAGGTACTGTGGAGGATGGCAGTGATCCATTGCTCAGAAATTCCAGAAATGGTTGGAGGAGAGACTACTCATTCTGACGGAGTTTGGCATATTAAAACTTATGATTTGCAAGGTCTTTCCAAAAACTGAGAAAGTTTTCATGTATTGCAGGACTGAGAAATCACAGCCGGTTCTCTTGACACCAGCTTTGTCCTCTCTACTTTGTCCAATTTTCTGCTAATTCACTTCTCTTCCCCAGTCATTTTTTAAGTAAAACTTTCTGTAGGCAGCTTGTGCCCAGAGGTCTCAGGCTCAGCTTTAAGACTACAAATATTGTGGACGGTGCTTAATTTGGAAATTCTTCTTTAAACAGTGTGCCCAGTTCAGTCCATTTGTTGATGAGCTCACTGACTACGCCACGAAAAACATCCTTGCAACGCCCATCTTGAATGGCAAAGATTTAGTTGCTGTCATTGTGGCTATTAATAAGCTGAACGGCCCATTCTTCACCAGCTCTGATGAAACAGTAAGTGGTCAGTAGTTCAGTTTCGATCATGCAGTTGTCCCTTTTGCCATACAACACAGACTCCTCTACACTAGGGATGTTTGCTTTAGTGAGGCTCCGCTGCTGCTAACTGCCCAACGGGGGACTCACCCTGCAACAGAAGAGGCTTGTACTGAGGGTGCTTATCTCAGAAATCTGCGTAGCTGTGGGAGAAACCTCACCTTACACCGGCGCAAAGCAAAGCCTTCACCGGGGAAATTAGCATGATATTGCTAGAGCAGCGTTATGAAATCCAGTACACACGAGGCTGCCGCTGCATTTGACTCAACCTCACTGTTTGCCTTTTCAGCTTTTCCTGAAGTACCTGAATTTTGCTTCCTTAAACTTGAAAATTTACCACTTGAGTTATCTTCACAACTGTGAGACTCGAAGAGGCCAGGTAAGACTACAAATGCAGATTGGGTTATATCTCAAAATCAAAAGAGTGCATACTCCTGATTTCAAAGAGGTAGTTGATCTGCTTCAGAGATCTATGCCTGAAGAGCAGAAAGAAAAAGGTGTCCCTCCACTACCTCGGGATGCAGTTGCAATCTCTCTTACTGCTGCTGTTGGCAAATTTGCAGGAGCTGAGGCACTGGCATCAGCCTCAGCTGGACTGAAATCCAGGTGTTTAGTTGAACTCAGACTACAAAACATTCCTTGGGTATTTACACTCTTCAGCCAGCAGCACCAAGGGATTTCCCCAAAGAACTGAGAATTTGGTATGTTTTCTTCATCTGATTTTTTTTTTTTCTAATTTATAGAGTTGCTCCTTAGTACCATTAAAATAATTCCCGTATGGTTGCTCTATTTGTCTCCTTCAATAGAAATGAATGTATATGGGGGCTTTAGGGTATTTTGAATGGAAAGAATTCAGTCCTGCTCATGACTTGGCTTATGAAAAGACTATTAAATTCCCAGGGGTTAATGGGAATCCATGCAGTCATTTTCTGGCAGCAGACAACTGGCTGTCATTGAAGTAAGACATGTAATCGAGTCTGTGCTGCATGGCAGCCATGCCCTTGTCTCCGGCGAGAGTTCACGTGGGGGATAAATGTTTCAGGAAAATGGATGCAGACTGAGAGTTTATTTGTGAAGCTTTAGACCAACACTTACTATTCGGTTATCTTGTGCTCTTCATTTGATTGTTTCAGTAGCCATTAAAATGTGAATGATGAACTGTTAAGTGAGCAGAAGGTCTAATGGATCCTGCAGGGTCCTCTGATCTGGGACCGAACCCAGGAGTCCTGTGTTCATATATCACTGCTGTGTCAGCAGATCCCACAGAAAGGAAGGGAAAGCAAAAACTGACGGCAAAACACACTGCCCACTCTACTAATAACTCAAGTGGCAGAGATCTGACCATCTAGATCTGAAGGTCTATTTGAGCATTAATGAAGTTCATTGTGTTAGACTTAAATACGGAGTGAGGAAAGGATGATCTAGCATTTTAACGTTGCAAAGTCAGCTGCAAAACCTGGGAGATCCTGTAAGTAATATGACACGTGCAAAGACAATTTAGTTTGCTTGTGCTTATAACATCCGGGAGTCCTTTTAGAAGACCATTTAACATGCTTTGCCCAACTTCTTTACCTCATTCTGTGAATGGGCTGCTCTTGTGGTGTTTCTTTCAATCCTTCTGACTAGACTTCTGGCTTCTGGCCTTATTTACGGCATGCTGCAGAACTCTGAAAATAAACCATGGTTCATTTTTCACTGCAAGTTTGTATGGCTGATGTGTGCACACGACAGCTGTGTTAAGACTTTGAGGGAGGTAGTAATTCAGACATTTCCAAGTCCAGCCTCAGCACTTTGCAACCCTAGTGTTAACTATTTTTGGAGGCGATATTTTACCTATGGGTATAAAATGTGAATGGGGCAATCTATTTATTTGGGACTAACACATTTTGTACTATGTTTATAAGGACAGGTTTTTACATAGCACTTACTGATGACAAGAACAATTACTTCTTTGCTATCCCAAACACGCTTGGGAAGCCTAGCTTCCCCAGAGAGCCTGGGCTCACGTTACATTCTCATTCTGCAGGTGCTGTTGTGGTCTGCGAATAAAGTTTTTGAGGAACTGACAGATATAGAGAGGCAGTTCCACAAGGCTTTTTACACAGTGAGAGCATATCTGAACTGTGACAGATACTCAGTAGGTCTTCTGGACATGACTAAGCAGAAGGTAAGCAGTCGTGTGTATGCCATAGTAACACAGCATATGTTTCTGCCTGGTTGCTCACCGCTGAGGAGCAATTTCTGGAGAGAGGTTTTATTTAGGCCGCTAACGAGCAAGTCAATTTTGAGTTATTATTCCTGTTTCTGTTCAGCATTTTTCCTTCCATTGTGCAAAATGAAGAACCTGGGGATGGAGAAAAGAGTGGGAGAGGAAAGATATTACAACCAAATAGCACTGTCTTGTAGAGCCAGGGGTTAGGAAGATGAAGGAGGGGCAGATGTGTTAGCAGTCCTGGTCAAAGCCAGGATTCCTGCCTCCAGAAAAAAAATGCACGTAAATCCAGCCTCTAAAAGTCTGCAGAAGGCACAATTATAGTGAGATGTCTGTAAAACCCTCAACAGCAAAACAGCCACCTTCCTCAAGTTGTCATTCATATGCACATTATCCAGGTTTTTAAGTGAAATTTGGGTACATGAGGATGCAAACTGACAGAAATTAAGCTACTTCAGTGACCCTGATTTGGATGCCCCCAACGTGCTTCCTTTCCGTAGGAGCCTTGCTTTATTCCATGGTCAGGTTGGACTGTGACTACTGCTGTCTTTAATCTCCACTGCATCTCCAGGCCCCTTACAGTCCTGTCTTGTGAAGAAGATCATCTATGTGCTGAAGCCATGCTGATCAGCATGATAGCATGGCCTAAGAAAAAATTTTCTTTCTCTTTAGCAAACTAGCGTGTAGTAGATCAGCCCTATGGCCATGCTCTGGAAAATGAGGAACATACAAGATATTGAAACAGGTGCTTGTTATGTGAATACAGCCCATACCGTTCATTGAATGAAACAGAAGTCCTATGGATGAAGAAGTATATGATCACATGAAGCCTTATAATGCACCTGACCCTTCATATTAATGATCTAACGATATTGTTCAGTGCCTGGTGCACAGAGTACAAAATGGAGCATGCGAGAGCAAATGTTACTTTGAGGTTTGAGAGAGAATGCACTTTTCCACACTAAAAATACTGCTTTCATTTTAAAAATAGGAATTTTTTGATCTGTGGCCAGTCCTGCTGGGAGAAGTTCCCCCCTACTCAGGGCCTCGCACGCCTGATGGCAGAGTAAGTAGCAACCAGATTTCTTAAACTCCCTCCTGTCTAGCTGGGTTCTCTCACCACTGATTTTAACATCACTCTTCTTTTTATTTGTAGGAAATAGTCTTTTACAAAGTCATTGACTATATATTGCATGGAAAAGAAGACATTAAAGTCATTCCGTAAGTACCCAGCCTGCTGCTATTGGTTCTGCATATTATATACTGATTCATATATATATATACTGTAGCTAAAGCAAAGGTTCTGGATGAGTTAAAGACATTCACAAAGAAATTTTCAAAGGTGCAATAGAAGACCGAATAAGAAAGCCAGAACATATCATCTTGGTGCTTTGAATGGAAGTCCCTACAGGATAGAGATTATTGCTAGTGCAGTGGGATCCTGCCTCATAAGGCAGTCTCCAAGAATCACCGCAACAAGCCCTTTTATATGCAGAAATGAACTGCTTTGATTGTCTGCAAATTCATAGATCTCCTTGCTGCCCTCTTGCATTGTCCCTCACAGGTGCCTTCACTGCTTCAGCAGGTGCCTCCACCCCAGTTCACAGAATCACACAGAATCACAGAATCGTTTAGGTTGGAAGGGACCTCTGGAGATCATCTAGTCCAACCTCCCTGTTCAAGCAGGGTCACCTAGAGCATATTGCCCAGGATCACATCCAGACGGCTTTTGAATATCTCCAGCGAAGGAGACTCCACCAGCTCTCTGGGCAACCTGTTCCAGTGCTCCGTCACCCTCACAGTGAAGAAGTTTTTTCTCCGGTTCAGATGGAACTTCCTGTGGTTCAGTTTCTGCCTGTTGCCTCTTGTCCTGTTGCTGGGCCCCACGGAGAAGAGGCTGGCCTCATCCTCTTGACACTCCCCCTTCAGATACTTGTACACGTTGATGAGATCCCCTCTCAATCTTCTCTTCTCCAGGCTGAACAGGCCCAGCTCTTGCAGTCTTTCTTCATAGGAGAGGTGCTCCAGCCCTCTAATCGTCTTGGTAGCTCTCCGCTGGACTCTCTCCAGGAGTGCCATGTCTCTCTTGTCCTGGGGAGCCCAGCACTGGACACAGTACTCCAGGTGAGGCCTCACCAGGGCCTCCCCATGTGACCCTGTGCCAGTCACACTGCCCAGCCCCTCACTTCTCATGGAAAGTCATTTCATGGTCATTTCTCCTCCCCTGACCACCTGCAGGCTTCCTCATTCCTCTCTTTGCCTCTGGTCACAAACCTAGTCTCAGGGCTGTCTTTGACCTTTCCTCCTCTCTTGACCCTATGTTGATACTCCTCCTTTCTGAAAATCACCCCCTTTTCTTGCCACTGAGTTTTTAAAAGGAGCCTTGGGTACTGTCGGAGCTGGGCTCTGTGTCAGCTTCCTCCACAACCCTCCGTCTCCTCCAGTGGTTTCCCTCTCTGAACTATGGCTGTGATGAGATCTCTCTCCTCACTGCCTCCTTCACAAAAGGGAGAAGGGAAGAGCAGCTGGCTGCAGCTGCAATGACTGCGCTTTGTCTCCTCCTCTCCCCTCTCACAGCTCCCATCTGTGTGCACCTGCACCACAAGCTCTTCACCCTCCCTCCACATCCATACTTCCCACTCTTCCCACTCTTCCCACCAACACAGGACGTGGCTGAATGAAAAATCTGATATACCACTTTTTGCAGAGTTCTGGTCACATCACTTTGCATCTTGTATAAACTGGATATTCAGCTTCACCTCTCAAGAAGGCCCCTCACTGTTTTGGTAAAGCAGTATTCAAAAGTTCAGCAGATACTTTTCACCACTCACTTTCCTTTGTCTTTCTGTGCTTTGGAGACCTGAAGTAGGACCTCCACTCCCCATAACAACTTTCTCCTCAAGTGAAATGCTTAGTGGGCTATGATATCATATGAGTTATACTTCACTTTTTACATACTGAAAAGCATTTACTTAGGTGAAGAATTTTTCTTTCGTACTTAGGTTAGCTCCTTTGAAAATAACAAGATTTCTTGATAACTAAGAATGAAACATGTAAATACGGGTTGTGCAGTTGGTCAGCTACATTTCAGCTCCATGATCAACACTGGTCTCACAATAAGTGTATATCCTTAATTTCCCTTATGTATTTTGCTTTCATTCAGAAATCCTACCCCGGATCACTGGGCCCTTGTTACTGGACTCCCAACATATGTGGCTGAAAGTGGATTTGTAAGTAGTTAACTTAGGCTTCATTAGGGGCTTCTGAAAAAAAGCCATGCCGATGCTGCTTTTCACCATTTCATTTTTTTATCTTGGTATTTAAACTTCTCAGTCCTCACATTGTAAAACACAATTTGTTTGTGATCCCCCTAGATCTGCAACATTATGAATGCTGCCGCGGATGAGATGTTTAACTTTCAGGTACTGTGAAAACTTCCAGAGCCCTCAAGGATTCTACTTTGCTTACAGAAATGTAATCTAGAGTCAGTGTTAGGCACAGAATATGTCTTTAGCTTGTAGTAGTGAGATAAAACAATGCTGATGCATTTAGAAAACATATTAAGTACATAGTGTCTTTCTGCTTGCTGTTGCTTCAAGGAAGGTCCTCTAGATGAATCAGGATGGACTGTCAAAAATGTTCTTTCCATGCCCATAGTCAACAAAAAGGAAGAAATCGTTGGTGTTGTCACATTTTATAACAGAAAAGACGGGAAACCTTTTGATGAACAAGATGAGACTCTCATGGAGGTACAGTTCCTTGCTGGGGCGGGGGGCAGTTCTTGTAGTTGAGAGAGGTCACTTTTGCTCATTGTACACCTGCAAAACACGCTCCAGTGTTTTACAGATAGATTCCTTTCTCTCTTGCTTATACAAGTATTGTGCAGTAGCTTGAAAGGTACTAAGTGAAATTGTTGGTTCTTTCAGCTGTGAAAACCCAGCAGTGTTCACATCTTTTAGTTTCAGCATTCTTCACTCAGACACCTAGCCGTAAGGAGCTACGATGCAGTAATATGACTGTTCTGACTTATTTTTAGGTATATTACTGCTGACTCACACAGACTGGACAGCTCACTCAAGAAATTACACAAAACTAATACGCATAGCTAAGATAGACGTTGTGGCCAGTTATTGCATCTACCAACAACCGCTGTAATTAAAGCCCCTGCTGCTGAGAAATGCTTCTGTGCTAGTTTCAATCCAATACAGACATCCAGCTCTTGGCATCTCTTATCAGCCTCGCCATTTCCTGAAATAGACCTTTGTTAGCAAACGAAGAATATATTGGCCATTGAAGAGCGAACAGCAAACATGCCATGAGCAAACAGAAAAATGTCAGTAAACACACAGGAAAGGCGACCAGACCGTCTTGGCTCTCCCTGAGAGATGTGAAGGGTTCCCACCTGAACGTCACAGTTCTGACACCAGCTTTTCCACAGGCATAGGGTATTGCACCAAACACTTGTAACAACACCAAACGGCACCTTTCCGCACGCTGAACTGGACCGAGGCTCCTTTAACCTCACACAGTATAGACACTCTTTAGCCCTATACAGATTCATCGTCTGAGGAGCTGGTGGGAACCCACCCACACACGATTGCATATTGCTAGACCTGTGGCCAGAGCAGAGCTTGCATTTCTCTAAAAATATATCATGTATTGTTATATTTCTGTGTCTTTAAGAGATAGATACTTTGGTTATTTCACTGTTTTCTTCTTGTTCCCTCTACTAGTCCTTGACACAGTTTCTGGGCTGGTCCGTACTCAACACAGATACCTACGATAAGATGAACAAGCTGGAGAACCGGAAGGACATCGCTCAGGATATGGTGCTCTACCACGTGAGATGTGACAAGGATGAAATCCAGGAAATTCTGGTACTTTCTCATAGCTTGTAGCATACCCTGCAGTGTACTGAGGTAGAGACTGGTCAGCACTGAACTGGAGTTGTATCTGTGGACATTGTGCCTCTCATCTCACAGAAATGCTTCTGTCCCATTGCTGCCCTTCAAATTTTTGCAAGAAGGAGCTTATTCACCCCTGCCCTCACCTGGTGTCCCATCCTGAGGCTTTGTTTCACCTTGGAGCGGCTCAGGCTCAGCCAGGTGTCTGAGAAGAACAAATTCCACCAAACAAGTCTTAAGAATGATTGTGGTCTCCCCTCCACCTTGGCAGACTGTACTGTTTCCTTTCTATTGTGCTTAGTAAAGCCTGCCCTGGAGGTAGTTCACACAGACGTGTCCCAGGGCTGTGCTGTAAAGGGTAATGGGGAACTGGTTCAGCCTCCAAAACCTCCTCGGTACAGAGGATGTGGAGTTAAAGAACCCTGCTGGGACCCTGTGTCTGAGGGAATTTTTCCAAGGTGAGCAAAAAGTTGAGCCAAATCAATGAAACAGATCAAATATGGCAACTTCCTAAAGCCATTCTGAGGGAGAACACTATTACAAGGAAGGGCTGGTTGAAGGATCAGAAATAGAAGCAAGGTCTGGAAAGAAAACATATATTGAATACAAGAACTCCCTCAGATATGTTCATCCTAGAATGCCCCAAAGCTGCACAGCGTGAAATCGTATGGGATTTGGTAATCTGTTTAACATGTCCCTGCTCTTTGTAGCCAACAAGAGAAAAGCTGGGGAAGGAGCCAAATGAATGTGAGGAAGAGGAGCTTGCGAGCATACTGGTAAGAGCAATGCACTGCAGGAACTGATAACCACGACAGAGAAGTATCATCTGGGTGGAGACAGGGAAGAGTTATGCTGGCACACTGGTACGCATCAACAGGGCATCTCAGGACTTGCGAATGGTGAGGGCAAAGCCTGCCCTCCCCTCCTCCACCACGCAGGTGTGAGGTTATTGTTATCGGTATCAGGGAATGCCTTCCCAAGCTCTTGGGAAGCACCTGCTTTGTACCACAGGGGAGTGGATGGGGCACCTGGACTTGCCATGAGTTTTGCTCTCCAGAGCAAACAAGACTTCCCCAGTAAGACCTGTCAGGTTTGAATATATGATGTATGATTTCAGTATGTCTCTACTCTATCATTAGTCTCTTTTAGATAATATATAATCAAATATCAAATCATATATCAAAAAATATGTATATCAAAATATATCAAATCAACAAGGCCATTTACCAGAAAGCAAGCAATTTCTATTGCAAAAGACCCTGTCCCTCCTCCCCCACTGACAGGGTTATCATAGAAAGCTGCATTTCAGTCTATTTATATGTCATATTCTAAAAGGGAAAGTTTCCAGAAACATCAGACAGGTGTACTTTTTTTAAGCAAAACCTGTTTCAGATGTTTCTGAGGGCGGCATGAGTAGCGCAACAACAACCTATTCCACATCTTTTA